TATTAGGGAGAGTGGCTTGACAACTACATCAGCCAGTTCCTTCAGGACTCTGGGATGCATCTCATCAGGTCCCATAGAATTCTGTACGTTCAGGTTCCTCACGTGGTCCCGAACCTGGTCTTCCTTTACAGTGCAAGGGGCTTTATCCTTCTGGTCCCCATCTTCGAGTCCATCAACTGGTGAGAGGCGAGGAGAGAGGTTGCCAGTGAAGACTGAGGCAAAAAAGTTGAGTGTCTCAGCCCTCTCATCTCTTGATACTAGGTCACCATTCTTGTTTGTCAGGGACATACACTTTCTTTAACCCCTTTTGTAGTTGACAAGCGTGTAGAATCCCTTCTTGTTATTCTTAGCATTCCTTGCCAAATTCAGCTCTAGCTGCGCCTTGACCCTCCTGACCACCTCCCTACACAACTGGGCAGTGTCCGTATACTCTTCCCAAGATACCTATCCCTGCTTCCATTGCCTGTGCAGTTCCCTCTTGCCCTTTAGTGTGACCAGCAGGTCTCAACTCAGCCATACCAGTCTCTTCCCTTTCTTGCTCCTGGGGACTGAGAGCTCTTGTGCTCTATGGAGAGTGTCCTTAAAGATCTGCCAGCTCTTTTCTGCCTCCCTGTCCCTGAGGACCATTTCCCAGGGAGTCATACTGACTAACTCCTTGAAGACCTGGAAGTTGGCTTTCCTGGAATTTAGGGTCCTGACTATACTTGTCACCCTTCCCATATCCCTCAGGAGCGTGAACTCCACCAATGCGTGATCACTGTAGCCCAGGCTCCCTCCAGTCTTGATGTCACCGATGAGCTCACTTGTATTGGTGAGCATCAAGTCCAGTATTGTATCCTCTCGCGTAGGGGTGTCTATTACCTGAACTAAGAAGTTATCCTCAGTGCATTCAAGGAATCTTCTGGACTGTCTACACCTCCCGGTGCTACTTTTCCAGCAGATGTCAGGGTGGTTGAAGGCCCACAGCAGGACGAGAGACTGAGCACAAAGCCCCTTGGAAGAAGGCTTCATCAGTAGGCTCCCCTTGATGAGGTGGCCTGTAGTAGACACTCACGACCAGATCCCCTTTGCTGCCTCTGTCTCAGATTCTTACCTAGGCTTTTGACCTGCTCATGACTTTTCTTCAGGGACAGCTCTTCACACTGTATTGATTTCTTGATGTAGAGGGTAGCATCTCCACCCCTTTTTCCCTACCTGTCCCTTCTGACCAGCCTGTAGCCATTGATAGCTGCACTCTAGTCATGGGTTTTGTCCCACCAAGAGACAGTAAGGGCAACGAGGTTGTAGCTTTCTAGCAGCACAGTAGCTTTCAGCTCCTGTTTGTTTCCCTGTGCTGTGTGCATTTGTGTAGAGGCACTTCATCTGGGCTGTTGCCTATATCACCATCTTCAAGGAAAACAAGGAGTGTTCCTCTGAGTGTTTCATGGAAGGTTCCTTGTTAGCTTCTACTACCTCAGGAGCTCCTAGCTCATCTCTGCAAGACTGTGACTGTGCTGCAGGGTCCCCAGCACACCTGTGGGTGACAGGTTGAGGGCCTGTACTAGCACCCTGTCCCTCCAAGCATTGTGTATCATCCCACAGCTTGTCACAGGCAAGCCTGATACAGCAAGCCTGGTGCTGTATATGCCATCCCGTTGTCAAAACCCAAAGTTGTCAGTGACACCAGTCACTGTATATGATTAAGATTGAAAAGAAACAAATCCTAGCTGATCTAATATGGTGCCACTGCCATAGAAAATCTAAATATCTGATCTCTTCTCAGGTATGTGAAAATGGGAAGAAGAGAAGAAGGAATGCTGTAGCTAAAGTTAATCTAAATTATATGTAGCCAGTGGAAGTGAAAGGTACTTTGAGAATATAGGCATTTGGAATGAGCATATTGCCAAGTAATTACTTCATCAGTAGTAAGCTAGCTGTAAAGAATTTAAGTCTTGATTCTTCACCAGTGCAGAAGAGACAGTTACTGGGGCAAAGCTTTGATCTTGGTCTCCCTTTGATCTTAGGACTTTGATTTTAGTAGATACCTGGTTTTTAAAACCAGTACTTCTATGGAACGGTATTGCCATATGAAGTATTTCATGCCAACTAGAGGTAGGAAGAAATTTTTGCATTACTTCAAACTGTAGGCTGCACTTTGAAAAGCTGAGGAGGGGCTGTAAGCAATTTCCTCTAATGTCATTGCTACTGTTAATGCTGAGTACCAGTGGAAATGGGCTGAAATTACAGTTGAACAAAAGATTTGAGTGTGAAATGCTTAGTGGAATTATCTCTAATATATTAGAAATCTAGATTTAGCCCTTTAATTTAAAGGACAAATATCCACAACTGTTCACTTTAGAGATTTGGATGCTGCCGTTGATTCAAAAACGCTTGTGTAGTTTCTTGCAACTTTTCCCATTAAGGTTAATTTTGAGAAATGCATTGGCCATGTCTAGTGTCTGTAGGATTTTAACAGTTCATTGTGTTCTCGTAGGGGAGTGTACAATATCATTAGTTAGTTACAGATGATCATTTACTGTCAGGATGTTGTTCCAGTGTCTCTTTGTTCTTATGGTTTGAATGCTCTTTATTGTCTTGGTAACTGACAGTAACTGTGAATTGTTGACTTAAGAATTACAAACTAAAGGGGAGTTGCAGGTGGATAACTTCTCCTGACAGATTTTCACTTGGAATAGGGTTGTGCTATGAAGCATGTTACACAACTTGTTTATTTTGACTTTTCCTTGAGCTGTCCTATGAAGGCCATAATGTCTGTCACTCAATAACATTTTAACTCTTGCAGGACTGTTTTATTGTTACTTTAATAACATTTGAGTTGTCTTTGTACATATATAACTTGTCAATTGTTCAATTAGTGCCTTTCATGAAAAAAGGAAATCTTTTGATATCTGTATATAATATTTCTGGTCAACGTAGAAGTGCAGAAAACAGTTTGGAGCTTTGTTTATTGCTTTACAACACTGCTATCTTTAGTGCAATTTGTATGTTATTGTTCAAGAATGTGGCTGCTTCTCAGTCTTCAAGAGAAATTCCATTTGTTGTGAGGCAAGTACTAGATAACAAGAACACTATTTCTGCTTTGTATTTTGGATGGTCATGTTTATGGGAGTTGCAGACTCTTACTGGGACTGACAGAACAGAATAGTGTGTCTAGGGATAGCACTTAGTCTTGGAGGTCTTTTACAGTGTTAGCTTAGTGTCTATGTTCAGACTTCTATAATCGTACTGCCTTTGCATAAATTCCTGCTTAAATTAATTTATTACTGCTAAATATCTGTTAGCATTTGTTTTGTTGTTAAACAAAGCCAAAACTTTTTTCTCTGAAGAATAATCTCTTTGACATGGGGTAAAGTAAATTTTGGTTTAGCTTGGAGTAAAGCAGTTGTTCTCAGTCAGAGATGAAGCTGTTAACTTTTCAGTTTAGTCAAAAGCAACACATCTGGAAGATCGCAAGGAAATATGTAATGGTCAGCACGGGGTTTTAAAGTAATGTCAAACTAGTTTAATGTCTTTCTACAAAATGTAACCTTTCC